CACTTTTCATTTGCCCATGGAGACAAGTACGCCTGAGATTAGCACAAGTACTAATTCTGATCTTATCTTGCGGAACTTTACTAAGTGTACTTGTCCTGGGTTCGTCCTTATAACTCCTATCATTCTATATTGGGTTTGAGATATTCCCACCGGCAACTTAAGAAGGACGACATTTCACTGCATTTCAATATCATTTTGTTACTAGCAATAATGCTATACATCCCTGCATATATTTACCCTCACCACTCCATACATTATGACTTCCCTGCTGAACCCAGCCAATCGCCACATCACTAGCGACTCTGTTCCTGCTCAATACAACTGCCATATTAGGCGCTTCTATATATTGTGCGGTCTGCCCATTTAATGCAATGCTACTGGAGTGCTGCAAAATATACTTCCGTGCACAGCCTTGAGGATACCTGATTTTGTGCTTTGATGTAACCGATTATAAACTTTTAATACATTTATTTAATTGGAACTTCGTAGGGAATCCAAATTTTGCTGTGGAATGGGATGTTAGCGTGAGCTGAAAGAATGCAACCAGAAGGATCAACTACACTTACCACACAAATGAAATGTCCAGTATGGATTTCTAAAGACGAAGCGCGCACAACTAGTGAGTTATACCAAAGCAGGTGATGACAATCAATGATACCTTAGCATGTTTACGCAACAGCACCATACTCCACAGCACTTCACGGCGCCTTTTCATCTTCGACCGGCTTCAAGGGTTAATGGCGGATCCTGACAGACATTCGGTCACCAATAGAGGGATTTAAGCGACCTTCAACTACGAATAACCGCGCGAAAAATCGGTTTGTATGATGAACTGCCGGTTTACATCGCGGCCCCAAATAACTTACGGTAATGTTCCAGGACATGGTGGGATTTCGCCAAGCAAGCTTAGTCCCTAAAAGAAGCCACAAATAGCCAGTTATCGAGGCTGCGACGGGCCGGATTTGCTTTCCCACTGCATAAAGCCCCAGCTTACCATTTCATACCGGCCCAGCCTGCGCACATACGTATGCAGCCTCAGCAACCAATTTATGAAACTGCTAACGGAAAAATTCGGAATTATGGAATGCTTTGATGTACCCCGAACATTCTAACCATTCAACGGAAGAAATTTTACTGACAGTTTACATTGGCTTCCGTGCTCCTGGCACCAAGGAGTACCACCTGGCAGAATCAGAACGAAATTTGTCAATTGCTACGACTGGTGTAACTGATATTTCCGCGCACCAGCGCTGGCATGTGTCTGGATCCCACAATTATCTGACAAACTACCCAACAACTACCCAACAGAATACTTCGGTCGCACCTTATTTATAGGAAATGTTTTGATATTCCGCATAAGTTGGGCTTGGATATACTTATGCGCAAGCCTTCACTGGGGTGCATCGTTACATCGCGAATACACCAGTTATGTAATTATTCATTGAACCATGGTTACTCCTGTAACACGCAAGCAAGGAAGAACTCTAAGTGTTGAGAACGACGTTGTATTACACAACACGTAGTCTCTACAAAAAGGTAATAAACAGGAAGTAAATTGGAACAAGGGAAGTTCCAGTTAACCAATGTCGTTGTGTTCTTGTTCTCCTCCTGTAATTGAGCGGGAAAGGCGCTCTGAAGGGCAAACGGGAGAGAGTGCTGTTACGGCAATGATTCAACTTTGGACGCGCGCCAAAATAACATCGATTCTACTCTACACCACACTCTTTCTAATTAGGCAGCGTCCCCGTTGCAACACCATAGCCGCCCTGAGCCGGCACCTCCAGTTCAAGTGCTACCTCCCCAGGCGTTTCGTTCAGCCTCCCGACAGATTGGTCAGTCTTACTCCGGAATGGTTTAAGTAGATGGAAATGTACTATCATGGGTTGACTGGCAGGGTTTTTGGGATCGTTGAAAACACATGTCACGTCCGATATCACCCGCTGTATTATGTACGGTCCTGTCCACTCACGGTGTAGCTTAACCGGAACGCCTGCCGTTGGTACCTGGTGCGAGTAAACTTGGTCGCCAGCTTTTAAAGGAGCGCCAATAACTTTCTTGTCGTAATACTCTTTCTGTCGTCGATGGCCGTTCCCAAGGTGAATACGTGCCGCTTGATGTGTTTGATGAAGTGAATCAAGGAGTGTGCTAACATACTCTGTCACCGATGAATGTGGCTGTTGCGGACTGGGTAATCGGATGTCAGACGGTAATCGGACTTCTCTTCCGGTCCACACAAACGATGGTGTTTGACCAGTCGAAGCGTGCACTGTGCTTCTATATGCCAGCAAGCATTTTGGTAACATAGCGTCCCACTCACTTACATTTTGCTCCACAAAGGCCTTCAGTAGCGATTTCAGCGACCGGTTTGTACACTAAACTTCTCCGTTGCCATGCAGGTGGTAAGCAGTCGTTCGCGTCTTGTATATACCGAACACACGACAAAGTTCATGAACCAACAAACTCTCGAAACATGAGCCCTATCAGAATGTAGCTGCCCCGGTGCTCCCCAGTGACATACCCAGTGATGTACCATCGCCGTTGCTACGGTGACTGTATCGGCTTGGCCGATCGGAACTGCTTCGCACCACTTGGTGAAATAGTCGACCATGACCAAGGTGTACCGATGGCCACGTGATGTCTCTGGTAGGGGACCAACAAGATCTACCCCCACAATCTCGTTCGGGTAGCCTGCATTCATAGGCTGCAATGGTGCTCTTCGGGTGATGATCGGGTTCTTGAATGTGGCGCATGTCTCACACGTCTGGCAAAAGTTAGTGACGTCTCTCCGTTGATGTGGCCACCAAAACCGTTGACGTGCTGCCGCTTCCAGGTTGTTGGTTCCAGCATGACCCAGCTGTTCGTGCAGTTTAGATAGCACGTCTGAAACTAATGATCGCGGAACTACGATTCTCCTGATATAGTTTGGGCCAAAATCAAACACTAGCACACCTTCCTCGATAGAGAGCTTGTCCCACATCGCCCATAAGCATCGAGCTTCGTAACTTTTTCCCTCCATTTCCTTCGCGGTAGGTTTGTCGCTCCCCAATAGCCACTTGTCATAGATCGGTGATACGTCTGGATCTGCTGCCTGCGTCTCCTGCCAGCGACCGTACTCCGAACTTTGAAGGTTAACTGGAGCTACGTGTTGTGCACTACAAGACGGGCCGTCTCCATGAGCACGAGTAAGAAGTCTGGAAAGAGCGTCCGCGTTGGCACGCGGTGCACCAGGTCGGCGTCTGCACTCAACATCATACTCCTGAAGTTGTTCCTGCCACCTGGTGATCTGTCCCTCGGGGTCTCTGAAATTCTTTAATAAACGAAGTGACTGATGATCTGTTCATACCAGAAACTTCCTCCCTAATGGGTAGTGTCGGTTTTGTTTTATAAAGAATACTAGGGCTAACATTTCCTTCCTGGTTGTGCAGTAATTCTGTTCTGTTGCACTGAGACATCTACTGTTGTACGACACCACTCGTTCTATTCCGTCCTGCACTTTCTGTGACAAAGCAGCTCCAATTGCCTGGTCGCTCGCGTCCGTGTCTACAATAAACTCCCCGGCATTTGGTGACAGGTCGGGGAAAACCAACACCGGAGCTGCACAAAGGGATTCTCGTAACCGATCGAATGAATTTCGACACGCAGCGGTCCATTCGAAGGTTTTACCTTTCTGTAACAAGGTATTCAAAGGCGCAGCGATCTCTGAGAACCCTTTCACGAATCGCCGATCATATGGGGCTGACCCCACAAAACTGCGTAGCTCAGCAACGTTGGCAGGGGTTGGCCATAATCTCACTTGCTCCGTCGTACGAGGGTCAGTACGAATCCCCATCCCCGAAATGACGTGACCAAGATACGTTACCTCGGTCTGTAGTAAATGGCACTTTTGGGCTGGAGTTTGAGGCCCACATTTACTAGGCGTGTTAACACCTCCGCCAAGTTGTTTAGGTGCTCGTCTTTTGTTTTTCCGTGTACACTGACATCGTCTAGGTAAACGAGACACTTGTGGGGCATCAATTCTTTCGAATTTTGGCAGGGTCGACACTTTGTAACACGCAAGCAAGGAAGAACTCCAAGTGTTGAGAACGAAGTTCTATTACACAACACGTAGTCTCTACAAAAAGGTAATAAACATGAGGTAAATTGGAACAAAGGAAGTTCCAGTTAACCAATGTCGTTGTGTTCTTGTTCTCCTCCGGTAATTGAGCGGGAAAGGCGCTCTGAAGGGCAAACGGGAGAGAGTGCCTTTATGGCAACGATTCAACTTTGGACACGCGCCAAAACAACATCGATTCTTCTCTGCACTCCGACATACTTTTCAGCGCACGCAGGTACGGAGCAAACAAAAAGCAAATGGAAAAAAGACGAAGGCGAACGCGTTGGAAAAGTCAAACGCTAAAATATTCCACGTAGTCTCCTTGCAGCGTTTTTAAAAGTAATATCCTTCTGCTTCTCTATGTTTTATCGTAGCCAGAGTCGCTAGTTGTGCTAATCATCTCCGGTAAATAACAAAGTTGTTGTCGTGGAATTCGCAAATGTCTCCAGAACTGCTGCCTTACCACAACCGATCTTCTTGCTGCTTTTTTCCTTATGTTGGAGACGAGGGAAGTGATTTGCATCCGGAAATTAGGTATCATGAATAAACGAACGAATAACGTATTTCTTGTAATTTCGAATTTTAAGAAAAGACATTTTAGTGTAATATTCTTTTTCGCGGTATTCTTAGATTCCGGTTATGATAAACAAAATGGTTGACGACCATGTGCTTTAAGTTTGCGCCTGATTTAAAATTGCGAACTGTAGTGCAGTTGAAACCGCAATGTACTGTTTAAATTGACCGCCATTACGTACGTCTCCTTTGCTTATTTTACAGGGCTTGGCAGACCGAATGCACAATGAATGAACGGAATCTTTAGCCAAGCCCCTGTACCTGTTCCTTGTAAACTCGTTGTTTATATACTTGCTTGCCGTGTACCACGCTATTCGCATGCAGCGCTGTTGAATACATCTGTCTCGGTCCAGCTTGCTTGTTCTCGTGGTCGACTCAGTAGAGCATCGTCGTCTTGCGTGATTGCCGTTTCGTACGTGCTACTGTGTTAGTTACTCGGTCGCTGATTCTCACGTGCCGTTCGTTTGTAGCCGGGACATTTCGTACGTGTCTCGAACCTGCCATTCGGAATATATTACAGAACTGGTAGCGTGGGTCTCGTTTGGTTACACAAAGCAGGTTCATTGGAATTTCAATTGTGCACTGTATTGCTGTACACCTATCAAGTAAACATTAAAAACTTTATTTGCAATTAAAAAGTATGATTTTGTTGCTTCAGTATACAAGGCATTGCCAGTAACAAAACTAGTAAAAATAATTACTAACTTAGATCTAATTCAAATGACACTAATTTAGTGTATGTAATCGTGTAGTAAACGTTTAAACGCCTTCACTTTCAAAAGAATAAATATTCTATAATGCAGATCTGTGTCTCCACTAAATCATTTGAACGAATTATCCAAGCTATGATTGGCTTCCAGGTCAGATTTGTCCTGCATATCTCCCATCCGGCGAGCATTTTTTATAATGTTAACAATCATCCTGACAGATGGCAATAATGTTGAACAATATGTTTGCTCGAGCCTAAAGCGTATATATATATATATATATATATATATATGTATATATGTATATATGACTAACAACGTAGAGGAGTAACTTATTCAAAGGCTTAAACTAACTTTCATGCTTTGAAGTGTTTTATAATCTTTTTGCTGTTTTTATTATGTCCTTTTCTTGTAGAACGTTAGTGACAAATAACATCTTTTTTTCTTCAAATGGTTTACTTTTGTTGGTAAAGCAGGCACAATAATATGTATAATTTGGGAAATAAGCAGACAATGTAGGGAACGATTCCGGACTCTGTCTACATATCATCGTTCGAGTACAAATTTGATTGTTATTCGACGTCGCGAATCTAATCAAGCTCTGGTTCATGAAATGTCTCGCACGACTCTAACGGAGAAAACCTTAAGGAGTTATTCCAAAATGAAGCCTGCTATTGTCTTCGAGGCTGTTTGTGTTGATCTGGTGAGTCCACATAAGTACGAACGGCTCTCGGTTGTTATCTGATTTCTGCTCTCGTCGAAATTATTTTAGACTACCATACCCGGTTCACGCTCGTTTTGTCACCTAAAACTTTTCCTTTTTCGTGCTGGTAACGATGTCCATTTCCAAATCGCCCTCGGACGGATTAACCGATTCGTCAGCTGTTTGTGGTAAAGCGAGTTTGCTCCGAACCAGTTACGGGTTTTTCGAGTGGAATGCAATGTGGCTTTTTCATTCATTGGCTCAATGAAGCTTGCATTGGCTTGGATAGACAGCAGTATATCTTTCTAGAAAATAGCGACGATTTACTTTATAATTGCCCTGACTGTGTTAAGCACAAAACATACCGTCTAGTCCAAATTGATGAATTTGAAACATTGGTGGATAGAGTGGATACCCTACTATTTTCGTTTAGTTTTTTAGTTGGGGAAATTTATCAAATCTTCGTACGCCTTGAACGTGCTTCAGTTCTCGGATCAAGCATGCATTCCTATGAGTGTATAAATAGTACAGCTTTGAAGGATTCCCCAAATCTTAAGGCGGCACCTGAAGATGATAAAGATTCTGACGTTACATTGAACTCAGCTGTGAATGTGAAACTTTTACAGGCTAGTGTATCTGCGCAGGCAAATCGGCGTAAGCTGAAGAAATCGGTCTGTACAACCAACTCCATGCCAAAAGATGTCGAGGTGAGCTCTGTCGATGCTCCGTCCTCGTTAACGGAGGCAGGAACTTCTCCCACCTCATTGCCATCATCCTTATTATGTGCACCTACTGTTCCCACTAGGGAGGATATGAAGTCGCGCTGCGCCGACCACTGCTACAGTGACACGTGCCGTAAACACCACATTGTCCTAGTGATGCGTTTACGGACAGCAGCGTTATACTTAGGAATATCGCGGAGTGCTCTGCGGCTCTTCAGAAAGATCGCATGCTTGACGACCTTCATTGTTTCAAACATTGTGTTACTAAACTACATCCACCCGTTTTTCCTGCGGTTACCATTGGAAAACTTACTAGGCTTGGGAACATAACGGGTGACAGTATTGAAATAGGCCCCGTCTACTGCGTGTGCTCCTGTCAACACAGGAGGAACACCAAACTCATTTGCGTTTCGTCTTTAAACTAAAGGGTTTCCGGACTGGGTATACAGCCGCACCTACCTGTAACTAGTAGCATAAAGCTTGAGGAAGTCATCAAAAACCTTAAAGCGCGTCGAGAATCTGGCGAGAAAGGTTTATGTTTGGTTTTTTCGTGTACATAGTATATATTATACACCATCCATGGTACAAATATTGTGTTCTCGGAATCATGGCTGAATAGGAAAATTGAATGAATAATAAGAAAATATCAACAACGATAAAAGCTTTTTTGTCCAGTTTGCCGCTCGCATATTTGAATATTTTCTCATATTTTTAGCGTGATGAAGGAGGGACCTTGCAACACACCGATGCACAGGTCCGCCACGGACATCGAATTTGAGCCATGGTTCCAAAGGTCTTCAACCAGCAACTATCCGCATCTCTCTGACCCCATACAGGTAGTCGACAAAACCTGCCGAGCCAACTGTTTCGTCAGGCTTTTTATACGGTTTCTCCAAGTTACTAGCTGTCCACCAGACCGTCTCTTCCAGCCCTGTCCAGCAACCGCAAACAACGCACGACGCGGGTAACCTTGAACAGGCATGCGCAATACGTGTCCCAGCCAACTGCAGTTGATGCAATGAGACGAGCTCTTTGAGTGAGCGGCTTCATCGTCCCAATACACGCTGTCTAACTACCACATTGCTTACGTCGTGTCGCCACCACACAGGGGCACTGGACCGCACACAGCAGTGCTCGAAGCCTGATAGTCTGCGCGACTCACATTTACGAATGGGCTGGGTCTCGCAACCGTACGACAGTACATTACGAACGGTTGCACAATCGACCCGCCCTTTGATGGAGAGACGAATGTCGAGGCGACGCCACAAGTGCCTCAGCCTAGAAAAAGTGAGGCGTGCTCTTGAGATGCGTATTGAACTCTCGTCTCAAACAGCCCCGTCAGCAGTGATGCAACTTCTTAAGTAGACATAGCTCTCCACAACGTCCAGTGTCTCATAACCAAGAATGAGTGCAGGCACAGGTACCTGCCAGTTTTGAAAGTGAGCCTTGCATTTGGATGGCGAAAAGTACATACCATACTTTGGGGCTTCAATCGCCAGGCGGTTTAGTGCAAGTTGGACGGCGTGTGCATCGTCACCCAGCATAATCCAAATCCACAACTTGACTACCTGGGAGGAGCTTAACGCCAGCGTTCAACAAATTGCCCCGAGCGCTCTTTAGGGCATCCTCAGTGGCAAAGTTGAATAGGAACGGAGCGATAGGACATCATTGTCGAACTACACTAGAGGCCACAAAGGAAGGCGAAAGTTGTGGTGAGCCCTAACATCCGGAGGTCGGACCATAGAGAATGCGCAGTATGGAGACAAATATCTCGGGGACGCTATTCCCTAGCAGGCTGTGCCACAGTACCGTACAATCGACAGAATCAAAGGCTGCACGATAACCGTCAACCCGCACGACAGCGAAGAGCCGCTACGGCATACAGCGGACACTACTACTACTACTACTACTACTATTACTGCTACTACTACTACTACTACTACTACTACTACTACTACTACTACTACTACGGCAATGTTTTGAGTCCCCGGGCTGAAGCTGTTCTGCTCCATTGGATCCCAGTCAGCAGTCCGATATGCGCCGTTATATTAGCTGGTTCGTTCTATGCTACAGGTTCGCGCGTGAACAAACGGTACCGGTTTGTCATTGCCGCCTACATTCCTACAGACTGCAGCACTGATTCGTTGAAAGATGATTTCCATCGTTACAGAAGAAGCATTGTGTTGCTGTCTGGAGGTCTAAAAGCCCAAGTCGGAAAATGGTCTTCTGATGAGCTTCGTCTGGGCAGCCAACATGGTGTAGGCTCTCGTACTGATAACGGTGGGCGATTGCTAGGTCTGTGTAGAGATTCTTATCTGTTTCTCGCGAGCACAAACTTTCGACATAAGCGCGGCCGGAGGGTGACTTGGCGCTCACGAGGTTCGCACCAGCCATGGTCGCAAATCGATCATATCGCGACCAGGTATCGTTGGATAGGCTGTGTCCGAAACTGTCGCTCGGTTTGGAGCACGAGCGTGGACTCTGACCTCCAACTTGTTTGCGCCGACCTCCGGGTACGTTTCGGGGGACGTCCGCAACGTCAATGTCAACCGATTGACACCAGTCAGTTGGGGAGGCCAGGTGTTCGTGTGTATCAAAGTGCGCTAACATCCGGGCTGGGTACGCGCTCACTGAACACCGTCAAAGATCACCAGCCGCATATTCGTCAAACGTTACTTTCAACAGACATATCTTCATATGGCAAATTGAATTGCCAAACTGGACCTTGGGTCTCTACACACTCTCTGGAACTTTTGGATGCTCGTCGACATATTCCGGCTGGAAGCGAATGCAATGAGACTCGCAAATATCTCAGGGCAAAACTGCGGGCTGGCGTGAAGAAAGACCGCGAAGTCTTGTGGTCTCATCATGCATCGGAAATGGAAACGGACGCTGCCGTTGGTAATCGTCGTAAGTTATTTCATATGATACGGGAAACGGATAATAGGCGATCTGGTGTTAGCGATACCATACGCGACAAGAGCGGACAGCCGATCTACAGCTTGTCAACGCGCTTGGAGCGTTGGACCGAACACTTTGCAAGGCAATCTTAACCAACTTGCGTTATCGTTTTCTTTTTTGGACATTGAGCGCTTTATTCCCTGGGCCCTCTCCTTGGATCCACCCTCACGCGCAGAAGTCGAACGTGAAATCAGGCTGTTCAAATGGCATAAGGCCGCAGGGGCAGATAGAATTTTGAGCGGCCCTCTTTAAATTCGGGGACCTGGTCTAATAGATGATTCACACGAGTTGCTAGTGAAACTTTGGTCGCAGGCGACTGTCCCGACAGACTGGAGGCGCTCCGTCATTGTCCCAATTTTCAAGAGAGGCTCTTGTTCGAAATGCGCCAACCATAGAGGGATCAGTCTGACCTTACTTGCCTCTAAATTACTTGCGTCTGTCATTCACCACAGACTGACCGGCACTCGTGAAAGCCAGATCCGTGAAGAGCAAGCCGGGTTTCGTCTAGATCTGCGCTGCATCGACCAAATCTTTAACTTGCGTCA